AGTTGAAGTCCACACATCTTAAAAATCGCCACAGTTGAGAAACACTGTCCTAGAGGTAGGAAGGAAGTTCAGAGGCCAGGAGGACATGGTGCTTCATATTCTGTAGCTTTAGTTTCCTTTGCTTAATAGGAGAAAGGTATGGCCCTCTATTTTTGCCCAGAGAAGGCTCTGGCATGTAGGATCCCATCTCCCGGAGCAGTTGCCAAGCCCTCGCTTATCCTCTTCCTGTCTGCCAAAAGAGAAAGAGGTCCTCTGTGGGATATGGAGTTCCTTCTTGTCCGTTAGGTGCCTGATAGGTGGGTGAAGGGGGCAAAAGGGCAGAAAGAAGGCAATCTAGGGGTGATGATGGAGGCAACAGAGGCTGGAGATCATCTGCCATCAGCCCATTTCAGCTTCGCTGTTATTCTTCCTGGATAGCTATAAGGCTGGTGATCCAGCCCGTCCCAGATGTGCACGAAGGGCAGAGTGCCTCCCTTATATGTGAAGATGCCAACTCCCAAGCAACAGCCATTTACACTTGGTATAAGGATGCCAAATGGGTGGGACAAGGTTCAGCCGCCTCCTTCCTGCTCCAGGCTGTTACCCCCAGTGACATGGGATCCTACTCTTGCCAAGTTCGAGACGAGAGGGGCACCAGGACGTCTCCACCCGTCACTCTGCGTGTGCACTGTGAGTACCTGTGGGTTTGTGGAAGACAGAACTTCCTCTTTGCCCGTCTGCCTGTCTGCGCAGACTGCCCGCACGGTCAGACCCATAGCAGCCCGTCCTCAGCCCCGTTTCCAGCGAACTGTTGCTCTTGCTTCTGGGAAGGGCGTGAACTGCTGGCTGAAGATGTTGGCAGGGAGACTTCAGGAGGCCTGGAGGTCACCAGGCTGAAAAAGGGATCAGGCCCTTTTGCCAAGGGTGAGCTCTGGGGACACTGGGGTGCTATTTGACACCAATGCCCTGCGATGACTGGGCTGTGCCTGTGATGTCACGGACATACCCTGAGTGACTAGGGAGGAGGAGCGGGGTGGGGGCTCTTCTGGTGGTGATGAATTTTGGGTGGGTTTTCCTCAGCATGATACAATAAGATTAGTGCTTTTGCTATTCATTGTATCGTGCAGTATTTTTTGTGTACTGAGTTATTATAGTTTAATGGGTCTTGGATTAGAGTGACACATATGCGTGAGAAATAAGTAAATTTAATCAGAACTGCAACCCTAACTGCATAATTGTGAAAGAGGAAAGAAGCTTGGAAAAATATGAAAAGCAAGCAATAATCAGAATGAAAGAACCACTCCAGGAGGCGGGGCGAACCACAAGTTAACCCCGCCTTGCCATTGCTGATTGGTTCCTTTGCAGGCTGCTGTCCTAAGGGTAGGGCAGGTGGACGGGGAGGTGGAAAGACTGTGGCTCTTCCAGGTTTTGAGGTCTGATTGCACACGCTTGCTTGCGAGAATCGTGTGAAGGACCAGATACGCTTCTTGTCACAAAAGCAGTGCAGGATTTGCAGGGTTCCAGTGGGCAACAAGCAGCCACAGCCCGTTATGGGAATGCGTCTCCTTGCACGGTTGAACGCAACATCCGGTCTTCTTCGCAGATGAGCCGAAGAAGGCCACCCTCACGTCCTTCCTGGAAACCCAGTCTGGAAACCAGGCCGTCTTGCAATGTGCTGTTGAGAGCTACCCACCCTCTGACCTCACGCTGTACAGAGGAAACGTGCTTGTGGCTTCCAGCAGGACGCCCGGGAATTTGCCCAGCCAGCGGCACATCGTTCGCGCCTCTCACAACTCCCTGAAAGTGGAGATCAAGTTGGTCCTGCTGGAGGACGAAGGGGACTACCGCTGTTTAGCCAACAACACGTACGGGGCCTCTGCGTCGTCAGTGCACTTCAGCGTGGAGAGTGAGTGACTCTTCTCCTTCCCCCTCCTCTCTTCCTCTTTCTGCCATAAGGCAGGCTTCTCCAACCTGGCGCAGTGTGCTTAGCTGGCCAAGGATCATGGGAGTTGTCGTCTAAAACATCTGCAGAAGGCTGATGTTGGAGACGCTGCCATTGAGGATCCAGTGGCCAGACGCAGTTCCAGTGAATTGCCTATGGCCCCTTTGAAATCAATAAGGCAAGTTAGGGTTGACATTTGGTGGGGAATGATTGCCACTAGCCAAACCTGGTTCCAGCCCACAACTTGGCTGCATTCACACAAGATGCTTAATCCGGTTTCTGAATCAACAGATGTTCTACTTTCCAGAATAGACTGAATGAAGATCTCACCAAACAGACTCGATTGCACCCCCCACAAGCCATCCCAAAACTAACCAAGGTTAACCTTAGCTCATCTTAACAGATTTCTACTGACCTAGTTAAGCAGGTTGTGGGAACACAGCCATCCCGCCACAAGGAAGGGGAAAAGTGCAAGAGAGAGAAAGCGAGGAGGAACAAGCCAGCAAAGAGGTCAAGTTCCTTTTTTGCTCTTTTCCTCCTCAGGTGCAAGAATCATAATTGACCCATCGCCAGATGTTCATGAAGGCGCTACGGCCAACCTGACCTGTGTGATTGCCAGCCGGGTGGCGGAACCTATGAATTACACCTGGTACAAGAACAGCCGGTGGCTTCAGGATGGCCCCAGCCCATCTCTCCTGCTGGGCAGGATGGCCAGAGATGACACGGGTGCCTACCAGTGCCAGGCAGCTGGAAGAGCAGGCAGTGTGACCTCCGCCTTAGTCCTTCTGAACGTGCTTTGTGAGTATTGTGTCTCTAAGATCTGGGGTGCAAGCTCGCCTCAGCTGTAGTGTAAGGAGCAGCCCCGGCAGGCCAAGGCTCCATCTAATCTGCCCCACTGGAGCTGAAGGACTCCCATTCCACAGACCCCAGGCCAGGAGAGAATTGGTGGTCTTCCCTGTGCTGCTGGACTGCACTCCCAGCATCCCGCCATGGGCTGGGCTGTTGATACCACCAGGAGCCCACAAGGCCACTTTCCCCAGTGCTCTGACAGGCGATTCTTCTGCTAAAATGAAGTTTCCCTCCCATCCATCCTCTTCCCAACAGAATGGGGCCCACATCCGGACCCCTCCCTCCCTTCATCCAATGAAGCAGAGAAGTCAGGCAGAAAGGGGAGGGGGCTTAGCCTGTGCCCAGCTTGCTCTTTTTCTGCTTCATCAGGGGCTCCCTCCCCACAGGAATCCAAAGCCCAATAAGCATTGACGTTTTAGCTCTCCAGGCAAAGGGTGGAGGTGCAGTTGGAGGGAGAAGTGATAGGTGGGAAAAGAGCTTTCCAAAGCCCTGCAAGTTCTGGGAACCAAAGAAAACACCACCCTTTCCAGGGGTTCCACAGGATGGCTGCAGCTGCCATATTGATTTTTTTTGCCACCCCCACCCCAGACACCCCTGACCCTTTCCCCAAAAAGCAATGGCACTTCATCATGCCCACAGAGACATAATATCATCTCCTTAGTTGGCACCTGGTTCTTGATGAATCTCTTTGCTTTCTATTGGTTTTAATTGGCTTATGGCAAAGGACCACCATGGCCAGATTCAGCAAGGAAGTTCTGATGTTCTTGTTAATGTAGATGCACCTGAACGCCCCTCCTTAAGTGCCTACCTGGACAATCAGAATGCGAAGTTGGCTATCATCACCTGCAAAGTGAACAGTCATCCACCTTCCAGACTGACCTTGTACAAAGACAATCAGCTCCTGGCTGACACCAGGAGTTTCTTCTCACCAGGTGGTCAGCGTTTCCTCACCTTCGCCTCCCATAACAGTCTGAGACTGGAGATTCAAGACATCACTGCACAGGATTCAGGACATTTTGTGTGTCATGCTGACAACCCATTTGGCAACACAACCAACAGCATTACCTTCAATGCAGACTGTAAGCACTGCAGAATCCCTGGGGAGACAGGATGGAGATAAGCGGGGCCTCAGAGCTGGAGATGTACTGTGGATTAGTCTTCTCCAGCTTGGCACCCTTTGGATATGCTAGACTTTAACTTCTAGAATCCATAGCTAGGTCATGCTAGTCTAGCTGAGCTAATGCATCTGGAAGAGCACATGAGATGGGAGAAATCTGTATAGGACCAGAAGGAAGGAGCCTGTGTTCTTTGAACTACAAACCTAGCATCTTCACCAGTGTGGCCAAGAATGAAGGATGTTGGGAGTTGTAATATAATAACATTTGAAGGCCACAGGTTCCTCATCTCTCTCCCTAAAGCAAGGATGAGACACCCAGGAATTCTGAGAGCTGCAGTCCCAATACATCTGGGGACAGCAGCATAGTTCCAGGCCCTGGACCATCCTGGAAGTGGATCCATTCCATTAGGAACTTCTCCCAAGCAACCGTTTGCTTAGAAGAACTGCCTGCTGGGTTCTGCCTATTGTCCACATACTTTCAATCTCCTGGTTCAAGCCATATGCATTCAGTTAATACCAAAGTTTCTGACTTCCCAGTGGCAACAGTTACATGGGTTGTCTTATCCACGTATGGTATCCAACACTTGGATACTCTTAAATGCCCTTGTCTTCCAGGTTTCATCACACAGGTTACAGAACCATAGTATTGTGAACTGGAAGGATCTCAAGGATCATCTATGTGCAGGAATACCAATTAAACCACCCATGAGAGGTGGCTGTCCAGCTCTTCTTAAAAGCCTTCAGAGATGCAGAGTCCAAGGATGGCAAGAGGTTATCTATCTAATTAGACTCAAGATGAAAGATAGCCAGGTTCCCTCCACCTCACAGATCTGTTGAGAGTGCAGATTTGATCACCTAGAGCAGTGTTTCTCAACCTTGGCAACTTTAAGATGCGTGGACTTCACCTCCCAGGAGTTGGCTGGGGAATTCTGGGATTTGAAGTCCACACATCCTAAAGTTGCCAAGGTTGAGAAACACTGCCCTAGAGCAATTTTAAGACCCGTGGACTTCCAGTTGGGGAATTCTGAGAGTTGAAGTCCACACATCTTAAAGTTGGTGTGGTTGAAAAACACTGACTTAGAGTCCCCTGGGCCACTGACTGCCCCGTCTGGGGCTGAAGGGCTTCTGGAGTATGCCAGGGGGTAGAAAGGAGTTGTCATGCTTAGCAAGTACATCCTCGCATTTGCATTCAAGGGCATGAAAGACACCGTGCCTCCTCTTCTCTCTGCCTGCAGTACTCTTCCACCTGAACTTCTTCAAGATCCTGGCGGGGATATCCACTGCCTTGGTTTGCATAGCTGTTCTTTGTGGCCTGGCCTTTGGAGTGCAGAAGAACTACTCCCGGTGAGGCTCGGCCAGGATTCATTGCGAAGTCAACCACTGGCTGGGGCAGGGTTCTCTCCCAAGCTCTCCTTTAGGCTGATGGCCATTTTAGCTACCCCCATAAGACACCCTGGGCATTTTCCATCCTGGATGGGGGTTCCCAAAAGGCTAAGAAATCTGTACCTTCAAAAGCCCCTCTCATAATCCACTTGAGCTCAAAGACATCTACTGCTCTTGAAAAGGTTGCTTTGCTGTGGAGGGCTGCTAACATCTGAAGCAGGAACATGTGGGAGCATCCAAGATAGCTCTCATGCTGTAATGTTTGGTATCAACTGGCAGGGGTTCACATGCTAATGCTGTCTTTGAGGGCTTCTAAGAGACTCTGCTTGGCCACTGGAGCAACATGTGTTGGACTAGCTGGGCTGGTGGCCTGATCTGCCCTTAGGGCTCTGCCATCCTAGTGGGATGAAACCATCTAAGCTGGGCATAGGATGTTATCTGAAGGTACAAACTTACCAATTTCCTTTATTTACCAGGATATACGAAGAGTGGATAAAGTGGAAGCATGAGAAAAGCCAAAAGGAAGAAGTGCAGCAGGCTGAAAACAAAGAAGATGTCACCCAGGTTTGTCTCACTAAAATCCTGGTTACAGCTTGGATCCTTGATCAGGAAAAACTGCATGACCAATGAAGGAAGTTTCTTCGCACTGCAGAAGATAGGGTTGGAAGCAATTGTGCTTCAGAAAGAGGAGAAGGCCATTCAGAAGAAAGTTGGCCACACTTTATGGAGTCCAAACATTTAGTTTCTCCTAGCCTATTCAGGGCAATATGGCTAGCAGCCAAGAGCCAAGATGTAATCCAACATCACTGGAACATACTGGGCTGGGAAAATTTTAGGCACCCATGGTCACTGTTTAGGCCTAGTGATCTTGACTAAATAAAACACAGCCTCTTTGAAAAGGCTGGCAGGTTTATCTGGACATGAGAAGGTATAAAGATACCCAAAGTAGGAGCTGGGTGGCCTTCTAAATCCATCCATCCATAAGCAGTTTCCTTGGGCCAGCTAGGGGTCCCTGGATGTTCAAAACCATGGAATGGTGGTCACGGTGTCCCAGGTATCAGGTTGCCTCTGAATCTGATGATCTCCTGGTTCAAATTCTCAGATATCCACAAAATTGTCAAAGAAATCAAAGCCTTGAAGGGCCATGAGGGTCAAAACAAGGCATCCATTCCATCTCAAACTGCAGGCTGGGAAAAGTGCCTCTGGACTTGAAACTGGGGGAGCCTCTCCATCAATGATCTGGAAGTGGCAACAGCTGCCTTCTCATGTCCAGCTTTCCAGGGTATCCAGAGGGTATCTTCAAAAAAGTCAAAATGATGCAATCAAAGCTCTCTCCACCTTTTAGGTGGGCAGACAGCTTCACTGCTTTTCTACAGCAAGAGCTGTACCAGAGCAACATCTGCAGTCTGAAAGCAGAGTCCCCTTCCCTCTTTCGCCTTGTTTAGAAGTTGTAAAACACCCAGTTAGAGTGATGTTCAAGAAATATTAATGGTGCAGCAAGAGGTAGTCTTTCCCATTCCCACTTAGCCTTGTTCTAAATTGATGCTCTGTCATCAGAAATGTGCCCTCCATCAAAAATGTGCCCGACTTATCCAGCTTTGGGCCGAGGCGCTTCTTGCCTCTTCATGAATCCCTTTTCTGAATAGGAATGAGCTATGATTTGAGCAGAGGTCTCTTCTGCTCCATACACCTATATCAGTGTTTCTCAATCTTGGCCACTTGAAGATGGGTGGACTTCAGCTTCCAGAATTCCCCAGCCCCCACTGCTCGCCTGGGGAATTTTGGGGGTGGAAGCCCGGCATCCTCAAATGGCGAAAGGTTG